CAAGGAGGCGGCGGCGGCCATGGAGCCGCCCGGGCAGGTCAAGGACCGCATCCTCGAGAACATCTCGCTCTCCGTCAAGAAGGTCAGCGCGGCGGCGGGGGGCGCGGAACGCAGGCGGGGGCGAGGCGCGGGCCGGGCCGGGCCGCGGAGCTCGCCGCCGAGGGCCCGTTTCCCCCGCTGCCCGCCCCGCCCGCGGCAGAAGGGCAGCCGCCGGGTGGCCTCGCTCCGGGCTGGGCCCCACCGCGCCCCGGCCCGTGCGGTACCGGGGGACGCCCCCCCCCCGAATCTGCTGCACCCCCGCCGTTCGCCCCGCGCGCCGTTCCTCTGACCGCGCCAGCGACCCGTTCTTGACGCGAAATGCAGCAACCCGCACGCCCCCCTTCTGCCCTCTCGGGACTGGGACCTTAGGAGGATGCCCGTGTTTCCCCCTCCTCCTCCCTCCCCTCATTTTCCCTCTCGTTTGAAAGAAGCAATAAGTAATCAATGCTAGCAAACGGGCAGTGCTATTCTGCTCCCCCCCCCCATGATTGTCTGCATCATCCCCAGAATGGCAAATGCCGGGTTGTCGGGTCTGACGCTTTTCCGCCCGGCCGCCACAAGCCCAACTCAGCGATGCAAACCCTTTTCAAATCATGCCTTTAAAGGGTTCCCTTTAGGTTTCCCTGTTGCCATCTGCCATATTGCGCTCCTGCGCAGGTGCTATCTGGCACCAGGTGGTCTCTGACTTACCGTGAGCCTCTGAATGAGTGCCCCCCAGAATGGGCCGGCCTGGGCAGACCTCCTCCGCTCTTGGAAGCTTGCGGCTGTGACTTGCCTCATGGAGAAGATCCATCGCTTAGATCTTCTTGCCCTCTCATGATGTGCTTGAAGTACAACAGGCTCAGTTTTGTACTTGTGCTTCCAGGAAAGGTCTGATATGCGTAGGGCCCACTTGTGTATGTTTCTGTTTCTCCGTGTCGTTTCCAAAACTCTGCTCCAGCAAGATCTTCCACGTGCCTCCGTCGTCGTCTTTTCAGCTTTCTTTGCTGTCCAGTTTTCACACCGTACACAGTGATGGGGAATGCAACACTGCGATTGCTGGATCTTGCTCTCTTGGTCTTTCATTGCTGCCTTTCCAAGTCTCAGGTCTTCCACTTTCTTGGCTGCAGTCTGTGTTTGAATTAATGATTGAGTCAAGACAAGCAAAACCTTCACACTAAATTTGTTTATTGTTGACAGTAAATTGTTTTCTTGGTCGCCAGCTGCAGCTGTGCTTTTACTCTTCTTTCACTTCTATCAGGCATTGCTTCCATTTATTGCTACTGTCAGTAATATGCTGTCATATGTATTCTTTACATTACTCATGTCCTTCACCAATTTTCACTTCCTCTCCTCTAATCCAGCTTGTCTTACGAAATGTTCTGCGTACATACTGAACAGGCATGGAGATAAAATACAGCCGTGTCTGATGCCTGTGTCTCTGAAAAACCATTCTGTTTCTCCAAGTGCTGTCTTAGCAGCAGCTTCCTTTCCATGATACAGATCAGGATGATGGAGTGCTCAGGCATACCCATTTCTTTTAGGACCTCCAGAGCTTCTCGTGAGCCATACTGTCAAAGCCTTTGCTGCAATCTGAAGCATAGCCCGATCTTCTGAAATTTGTTAATGTACTCTAGTAGCCAGTGTCTATTTGCAATATGATCTTGACTGCCTTTTCCTTCTGGGAATCCTGCTTGAACATCAGATATTTCTCACTCCACAGAGCATAAATGTTTGGTTGCAAGACCTTGAGCATCACTTTACTTGCATGGGAAATTGGTACAATGATCCTATAGATGCCGTATTTCTTAGTGTACAGCCTTTCTTGGGGGTTGGATTGTATATTGTTCTTAAATTTGTTTTGTTTTGACTCGAGGCAGTCTCACTTTCTCTCAATGTCTGTGCCTATTTTCAGTAGAAGCTTCTGTGACCTCCCCCACCCTGCGTTTCTAGAAGAAACAGGCAGATACCCCAAAGTTTTCTGGAATTCTTGCCTGACAGGTTTACCCCACATAATAGGAGTTCCAGCAGTATCACTGTGCACTCCTATGACGTAAGATCCCTTTACCCTACAAACTGCAAAATCTTCCAGGATTCAGCCTGAGAAGAAAACAGTGTTACAGCTCCTTAATCCTTTATTGGTGAAAGCGGATTGCATTATGCAGAAATATATAATGAAGAAGACTCACAAAACTTGCTGGAGAGAGATGTGTTTTAGCTTATAATGTCAGCTGTGTTTTTGGGGCTTCTCCAAGGAATCCTGGGAATTGTCGTTTTTGAGATAGTGTCATTCAGGGACATGGCAGTTCAACTGCTGACAGTATAAAATATCTTAATTAAGTGCCTTCATTAAAATCAACTGTCTAAGCAGGATTAAAAATTCAGTGTAAAATGAATTACTGAACCGTGGTGCACGGTATGGGATTGAAACAGCCAAAAACTATGCATAAATTGCCTTTTTTCAGCTTTGCGTATTGCCCATCAGCAGTGCTGATAATGATTTGATAAAATACAAATATTAAAGCCATAACCAATTGTGAAACAAAAACAACCCTATAATAACCTAAAATTAGTGCAGCCAAATAAAAATCGAACAGATAAAAGGACCAGAGCACATAGCAGAGCTAAAAGTACAAGATCCGGGGAGCAAAGCGCTGGCCTGGCATGACGGGGGCCAGCTCCTTCGCATGTCTGACGACCCCCAGTTCCCTGCTCAGAATGATTTACACCAAATACATGAATCAAGGTTGCCTTGCAGTCGCTTCTTCCATTTCCGAAGTCCAGCTTTTATTTGCCCCTGCCACAGAAAAGGGGCCAGCCTTGGCCCTGCTCTTGAACCCCTTTGCTGCCTCGTCCGCCTTCTGCCCTTTTCTAGCAAGAGCACGTGAGAAGGATTTACCAGCCCTCAGAGCTTGCCGGGGCTGGTAAATCCACCCTACGGCTGACGGCGTCTCGCTGGTCGAGGGGCCGAGAAAGGCCTTCTGCATTTCCCCGACAGATGCAGGAGTCGAACCGAGGCTGGTCCTCCCCGTGTCCTCCAGATCTGTTTGAGTGGCTCTCAGCATGTCTCACGGTTGGTGAGCCGGTTGCCTCTTGGATGGGGCACTGTTCTGCCCATCGAAAGGATGTATAAACGGCTTCATGACTCAGGCCAGCATCCCCACGGGGTCCGTTTCCCTCTGGATGTCAGCAGCACCAGAACTCATCAGTCAAGCAAGGTGCCCCCCGCCCTCCGCCGTGGGACAGCAGGCACTGAAACGAAGGGGCATTTTTATCAGCGAGAACCTTGGCTGCTCGCCCTGCCCGCTAGTTGGCATTTCTCAGTCACAAGCATCCCCCCCGCAAGTATTTCAGGACGCTTGGAACGGTCGGTCATTTGACCAGCTCGGCTGATGAGACGTGCACTGGTGCCCTGTGATGCTGATGGCCCCCGCTCCCCGTGGGCGGTGAAAGCTCAGCGAGGCAGCCTCCCCTCTTCCAAAAGTGCGGCCTGGGGAAGGAATCCCCGAGCTCGGTCAGGAAGGAGGTGGGTGGGTGCTCGCCTGCCTTCTCGCAGGGGCTCTGGGCAGAGGGTGAACCGCCTGCACCTCTCCTTGGCCTCTGAGCGACCGGCAGGAGCACCGCAGCTTGCGAAGGAGGGGAGAGCTGTCCGGCAACCTGCTGAGGGCTTCCTCACAGAGCAGACACCCGGTCCGGGCTCTTCCGGACTCCGTGCCGCACTGGGAATGACGTGCTGGCGGGCCGCAGCAGCCTCCTGGGACCCGTCCTGGGCAGGGCTCTGCTCCCAGCGTGGTGCTGCTGGTGTCTCCAGGGCCGGGCGGGGAAGGAGACTCCTGCGCCTCCCTGTTGCCGCCACGGGAGCCGCTTCGCTCCCGTCTCCCAGCCCTAGCCCTGTGGCCACCAGCCGCTGCTGGCCGTGGACTCCTGGCCCTGCCTCCCGCAGCCTTTCACCGCCGTTTGTGGGGGCCTGTCCGGACACCGCCGGCGGCTCGCGACTGCGTGCCCGGTTGCCAAAGGAATGACTGGGGCTCTGAGGACCGATTATTACTATTAATTGCGTTTCTCTCTCGCCCGGTCGCTGAAGCTCTCTGGGCGGGTCACGCAGTTGTAGCTCTCCTGCCACGGGAGCCTCATCCGGCTGAGCCAGCTCCTTGCTGGGCTGGCCCTGCCCTCTCCCGGGCGAAGCTCTCCGAGGGTGTGGCTGGCAGTCCTGGCCTGAGGTGGGGCTCCAACCCCCCTCTCCACCCCACAGGCAGCGCTGGGCTCCCCAGTCCGCAGCTGCCTCTGAAAGGACTGCAGGGACACGCCGTCAGCCGAGGGGCTGTGGGGAGCAGAGCAGCCTTGACTGGCTCCTCCGTTGGCTGTTCCATCTGTTGCTGCCTGGTGGACCTGCCCCCCCCCCCCCCAGGCCGGAGTCCTGGGCCACCCAGCCTCGCATTGCTGGCATGGGATGTCCGGGCTTTGCACAAGGCCTCTGAGGATCTCCAGCAGCCTCGAGGAAAGGGCTCCGTCCGAAGCCCCGTGCTGGGGTTGTAAATGAATCAGTGTCTGGACTCAGCTTATTGCCTTATTGAACCTCGGGAGTGACTCAAATGAAAGGCATTTTTCTGATGCAAAGAGTATCTGAGCCCTAAACTGGACATTGAAGCGAGGCTGCTGTCGTAGCACATCAGGGCCCCTGGCGCCGACCTCTGGGAGGGTGCACAGGAGCCAGGCCAATCTTTCCCGTTCAGAAATCTAACAATGTTTGTGGGAAAAGCTGCTGCTCCTCCAGAAATGTGCTTGCTTTTCTGTTCCCCCCCCCCCCCCCGCACCACATGCCCCTTTCTTAGTGCCATCCCTGAATTCAGACGCAGCTGCTGGTGCTTTCCGGAACCAGAGGCCACGGCAGCCTCCCCTACTAAACATTTGCAGCCTCTGGGGGAAGATTGAGGTTGTTTTGGACACAAACTGGGATCAGTACTCAAAGGCAGGAGAAATGGGACTTGGCGAAGGAGAGCAGCGGGTCTCCGCGTTTTATTCCATGCCGGCTCCAGGGAGAGTTCTCCGGAACTGGCACCTCCGTGCTGTGCTGCTTCTACCACATTTCCCTGCCAAGCGGGTACGTGAGTCTCCTGGGCAGAGGCTCGCTTGGTGAATCTGGCACTGACGGCCTCTCTCCCCCCCCCCCCGCTCCACCCACAGTTGCAGAGTTACTTTGCCGCCTGTGAGGATGAGACCCCAGCCATCCGGAACCACGACACTGTCCTGCAGCGGCTGTGTGAACACCTTGACCACGCGCTGCTTTACGGGTAAGGCGGCCCAGCCCTTCGGCGGCTCTCCGCTCGGGTGCTGCCGCGGAAGGGGCGCTTCCTTGCTTGGTGGTCCTCGGGGAAGAAGCCCGGGTGGCAAGCGGGGCCTGAGTCCCACCACCCGCTCTGGGCTGGGGACTTGCGTGGTCGTGACCTGCTGGGCAGACGGGCCTCTTCAGAAGGTGGCAGAGGCAAAGCAGTTCGTAATCCAGGAGCTTGTTTTGTTTGCACTGTGCTTGCGCTGCGTTGGCTCCCCTCGGAGCGGCCTACGCTGAGGGAGGGCAGGGGGTTGTGGGAGTCTGCCTTAAAGCAGGGCTGGCAAACTCTTGTCAGCCCAGTGGTCGAATTGCATTTCAAAGGCGCTCTGGGCAGCGCACCAGCATGTGCGGAAGAGACCGGCACTGGGCTGGGAAGGCTGCCTGCATCCAAGCCGAGCTGGCAGTTCCTCTGCTGATGAGCCGGGAGTGACATTTGGGAGCCTCTAGAGAGTCACGAGTGCTTTGGGCAGAGCCAGCCGGAGCCCGTGGAAGGCAGTGCGGATGGGATGCTTTCCAGTCTCCTGTGGGAGCTGCACCGCTGACCAGCTCGGAGGCAAAGGCCTGTGTTGTGACTGGCCCCGGCTGACACATTTCTCCTCGCGTTTCTGCAGGCTCCAAGATCTCCCTTCGGGCTACTGGGTCCTGGTGGTCCACTTCACCCGCCGAGAAGCCGTCGAGCAGATCGAGGTCCTGCAGCATGTGGCTACTAACCTGGGGCGCAGTAAGTGTGGCCTTCGGCGTGGCGGCGGGACGTGCTCCCGGCCCTCGCAAAGGGGCGAGGCTCCTCTGGGTTGGGCGCTGTCATGCGGCCAGGCCTGGGATTGAGGGAGAGGCTTGGCTCCGGGGGGGTTGCCTTCCGGGGAGGCAAGCCCCAGCCCGTCTGGGGAGCGCTTCGTCACTCGTTCAGGCAGGCGCAGGTGTGCCACGGATGGGCCCGGGGAAGGCCAGCTCCTCTTCGGTCGGTCAGGCGGTCGGTGTTTAGTAAGACTCCACCGAGGAGCGGAGCTGCCCCGTCCCTGGAAGGCCCTCGTTGCTTCTTGCAGGCCGAGCGTGGTTGTACCTGGCCCTCAACGAGAACTCCCTGGAGAGCTACCTGCGCCTCTTCCAGGAGAACCTGGGTCTGCTGCACAAGTATTACGTCAAGTGAGTCCACCGCTGCTGTTGTAACACAGAATGACAGTTGGCGGGGGGGGGGCGGTGGATGGAGCAGGGCGGGCTGCCAGTGAGCGTCTCCCCCTGGTGTTGGGCTCTGGTCCTGCAGGGTGAGGGGGATGCGCTTGCAGCAGGCGCCCACGGCTGATCCTCCGTGCCAGGCAGAGCTTGGCAAAAGGGGAGCCTCTCCCTCCCTGCCGTGGCCTTGCAGAGGACCTCCTTGAGGGTCTGGTGCTGGCCCGGAACGGGTCCCAGCATGTCCGAACTGTGGCGTGACCCGTGTCTCCCCCCCCCCCCCGCAGGAACGCACTTGTCTGCAGCCACGACCACTTGGCCCTCTTCCTCACTCTGGTGTCCGGCCTGGAGTTCATCCGGTTCGACTTGGACCTGGTGAGCAAACTCTCTTCTGTTCTGCCCTGCGGGGCCGGGCGAGCGGAGCCGGCACTTTCCTGGAAACCCCAGCCCTCCCGCGGACTGTGGCCGACGAAGCCCGTCAAGCATGGAGCACGCTTGCGCCAGTGCGAGTGCGCGAGCGCATGCCCGGTCCAGCCAGGGTTTCCATGCGAGCCGGGTTGGTGCAATGCACTGGCCGTGGGGCTGCCTTTGGGGATGGTCAGAGGCTGCAGCTGCTGCAGAACGTGGCAGCCAGATCAGGGGGCGGGACCTGCCTGTGCTTTAGCACGTCACTGGCACCAGAGGCACTCCAGTAACCCCCCCACCCACTCTCTCGTGTACACAGACGTTTGCTCTCACCTACACACACACGTGCTTTCTTGGAAGGCAAAGGCATCGACTTTCTCAGTGGCCCTTGGCTCGCTCCATTGCATGAGAGGCAGGAAGCCGTGGTGCCGCAGCTCTGGGCAAGAGACCAGGACGGCTGCCGGCACTGCAGCGGCTCCCCCCCGCCCCCCCGGTGCTCGCGGGTGCAGCTGGCCTGCAGTGGGCCCTGGTGCTCTCCAGGCGGGGGGGCCGGCCTTGGGCCAGTGGATGCTGGGAAGCAGCGCGGGGAGGGTGGCAGCCTCAGTGCCCGGAGGCCTCTGGTGGGTCAGCCCGGGAGGAGACGTGGCCTGGAAGAGCCCGGCCGGGAGCCCGTGCGGCGCTGCTGCGGGTGGGAGCTGAGCCACGGGGAGGCAGACCTCCTCCTCTCCCCCGCACCCCCCCCACTCTGCCAGACAAGCAGGGTGACCTCTGCCGCAGTGTCCTGCCCCTCCTCGTTTGCAGGGTCCCCCTGCAACACTAAAATCCCTCAAAGACAGGAATCGGGTAAAATAATACGGCATAAAATGGAACATCGTCGGCGTTGCTTCGCCCACAGATCGGAGCCTGCTGGGGTGCCTGGCAGAGGCTCCATCCCACTCACACAGCCCGGATGCTGCTGCCGCGGCCAGGGCTGCTGTGGGGGTGGTCCCGGCACCACTCGGGGGGGGGGGGGTGTGCAGAACCAACCCGTGTGGCACCACGGCAGTGGCAGCATCTCGGTCGGAAGCCGCCCCCAGCAGGGGACTCTAGTCCATCCGCCACGGAAGCAGCGGTTCTGACCGCAGTCCTCTCCCTCCGGCCCTCTCAGGATGCCCCGTACCTGGACCTGGCACCATACATGCCGGAATACTACAAGCCCCAGTACCTGCTGGACTTCGAAGACCGCCTGCCCAGCTCAGTCCACGGCTCGGACAGCCTCTCGCTTAATTCCTTCAACTCGGTCACTTCGACCAACTTGGAGTGGGACGATAGCGCCATCGCACCGTCCAGCGAGGGTGAGTGGAGGGGAGGGGGGGCACATGGAGCGGTGGGGCCATGGGGGGCGAGGGGCTGCTGGTGACAGAGCGGCCTCCCTCGGCCCTGGAAAGTCTAGTCTCAGGCGAGAAATCCCCGCTTGCCCGCAGGGCCACAGTCTCGGGGGAAGCTTTGAGGGCGGCAGCTTAGCCTCACAGCTGTGAGGAGGCGCAGGTGGTCGCCGCTTGTCCTGCTGGGATTCGGTCCTCAGGCCTGCCCTGCAGAGGGCCCTTCCGGTGGGACCTCTCGCCAAGCACATCCCGGGCCTGCAAGTGTTCCCAGCTGGATGCAAAGATATCAGAGCGTCTCCCGGGCACGGTGGGACCTTAGTTACCGGGGCAGCTGCAAGGGAAGGGGAAGAGCCGGGCGTTCGTTATGAAGGACTGGAAAACAGACAGGCCTGGGGTCAGGGTGGCCCACGTTCAGCTCTGCGGGGTGCTGCTGCTCCGTCTCTTTGAGGTGCAGCCCTCAAGGGGCAGGCCTGCAAGGTAAACCCCCCACCCTGAAGACAGTAAAAGCCACAAGGCCAAGATTACAAGTCAGAGCAGCAAAAATACAACCTGCCCATAAAACCCACAGCCCACACCCAAGGGAAGGCCAGGGAGCAGGCGGGCCTTCAGAACCCCTCTGAAGCCCCGCACAGGAGGGGATTGCCGAGCCCCCGATGGAAGCCGATTCCTCAGGTGGGAGATGACCGCTGAGAAGACCTCTGCCCCCGCCTTGGCGACAGGCATGCGTAAAAGGCCTCTGGGGTGGCCCTGATCCACCGCAGCGGCTGAGAAGAGCGGCCCCTCTCCTGTCCCCTTCGCCCAGTGCCTGATCCTCCGCAGGTTGCCCCTAACCTGCCATAACAGGAGGGAACGGTGCTGGAGCCAGCTGTGCCATTCATTCCTAATGCCCTCCTGCTTTTGGGGTTTAAATCAAACCCAAAAAGCCCAGCGTGAATGGAAACCAAGCGCAGCTTCAGCTGGAGTCCCCCACGGAGGACTTTTTGATTTGTGTGTGTTCTGCTTTGTCCCTGGGGCAGCTTGACGAAACTGCCGTCTTCCCCTTGCGGCCTGATGCGGCGCAGTCCATCCTGCTGCCAGTGTAGAGCGAGTTAGCCCCACGTGGGTCTGTGCCTGCCCTCAGTTTCCCCCTCCCTCCAGCCTACATGTCTAATTCTCCTCTTTGTCCCTCGTTTTTATAGATTATGATTTTGGAGATGTCTTTCCCGCGGTGCCGTCCGTGCCCACCACAGCCTGGGAAGGTGGGATGAGCGCGCCCGTCCCCCCGCGGCCCGCACTCTCTGTGCTGCTTTTGTTTCTGTACCAGAGCTTGCTGCATGCTCCGCAGCGGGTCCCTAACACTGTTTGGCGCCCGCGGAAACAAACGGCCGTGCCAAAGGGCTCTCCGAAGGGTGCCGGGCTCCTCCTCCGGTGCTTTCTGGCAGGTCAACCAGGGAGGCCAGGGTGCGCCGGCACCCCAGGGCATAGGGGCGCTTGCTCCGCGGGGGTGCCGGTCCCCTCTCCCCTGAATTCTCTCTCTGGGCACCTCGCATTCTGACTCCTCTGTGGCTTTGCCTCCCCCAGCATGTGGTACTCACTCTTCTGGTTTTCAATTAACAAGACTCCCACGTTGTTCTTCGCCGAGGAGCCCAGCACTGCCCCTCTCTAATCACTCGCTCGACTCTGACAGTGCATGGAACGGACAGCAGTGGAGTTGCCCTCCTCTCCGATTTGATTGCCCAAAGCTGCTTCCCTTACAGCCCCTTTTCCTGAGCAGTCTTGAGGGAGCGGCGGCAGCCGCTGCCTCAGGCTGTCCCCCCGCCGTGTTCTCCTCGTGCCTTTCCCCTGCACAGGCCACCCGTCTGGTGCGAGCTACAGATGCGCCAGTCGCTCCCTTCGGCATCCGGCGACCCCTTTTTTAAAGTTCCTAGTCTTTATTCCTGCAAAGGACCGTTGGAGAACAGGATCACAAAAGCTGCTGATGGCCACGTAAAAGGAAATTTCATTTCCTCAGCCTCTTGAAAGGCCCCCCAACCCAGGCACAGAAAGGGGGCATTTAGATGGATCGGGTTAGGGTTCTGCATCCTGCCGTTCATTCTTGGGACTGGCACTTTTCGTGTAGGAAGCAAGCCTCGTCTGTCCAAAGAACACTGCGGGGGGAGAGCTCATGCCTGCTGGCATGACGGGGACACTCCGAGTCCCTCCACAGGGTGACAGCTCCTCTTTTCTTGTGAAGCTCCTCTCTGAGTCTGGCCCGGCTCTCCCACAAAGGTGAAGCAGCCAAAACCGGTCTTAAGCTGGCTTCCGCTTCCCAGTCAAGTCACCATTCAGGCAACAGAACTGCAGAGTCACTGGGAGCTGCTAAGCCAGGAGTCCCCCTGCCCTCATCAGACCAGAGCACACAGGAGGTGGCAGTAGCTGAACCTGGTTCCAGGCCTCCTCCTGCTGGTGCCTGAGCAGGTCCGGGTCTTTCTCTGTCCCTCGTGTGTCTGTGCCCTGAGGAATCCTCCAGGAGCACCAAAGACCACCAGCCAGGCACGATGGGTAGCTTTCCCGGCTCTCCTTCTGGATTCAGGGCAGCGCGTGGCGGTGTGGGAGGGTCACCGGCTGTTCTTTCTCACGCAGAGGGGGACCTGACAGACACCCTCAGCTGCCCGCCTTCGGGGACCTCGGAGCTCGCCAGCCGGGCTTCGGCCAAGAGCCCGACGCAGCGCCACAACCCGTTCAATGAGAAGGCGGAGGCGCTGTCCTCTGCCGAGACCACGCCGGTGCACTCCGCGTCGCAGGAGAAGGCCGAGGGGACGACGGAAGGGACGAGCCAGTCGGAGGGCTGCACCGAGCTGGAGGTCATCAGGTCCGTCGCTCTGCGGGGTGGGCCAGCGAGGGGGCCAGCGCCAGGGGAGCTGCCTTCGGGCCCCGAGTCGGATGGCTGAGCCGCAAAGCTGGCCTCGCCAGACCTTCCCCAAGCCCTCCCCGGCCCTCCTGCAGGAGAAGCCAGAGTCCGGCAGCGGCGGCACCCCGGTCCTCGGGCTTTGTCTCCAGAGCGAGGAAGCGTGGCCCTGGGCCTCACGGACGAACCGCATCCTAAGAGGAATAGGCAAAAGCATTGCTTGTGTTAAGCCCCGAGAAGGAAGGACGGAAGGGAGAGGCGGTTGCAGTCACCAAGTAACTGTCAGGCTGTCGCGCGGGAGGCATGGAGACGTCGTCTCTGCCGCTTCCACAGGGACAGCGGATTCTGGGGAAACACTGGAAGAGGCATCCTAACAGCAGAACAGTGGGACTTCCCGCCTCAGGAGGAGCGGGTTGCTTCACTGTACCTCCAGCCCTGAGCCAGGTAGCCAGTTCGACCCCTTCCAGTTCGCAAGATGTTGTGTCGCCGATCAGCCCAGAGGGGCCTGGGAGTTTTCCTTTTAGAGCCAGTGCAGGGCTGCCCGCGTCCCCCAAAGTGCCGTCGCGTTCGGATGTGCTGCGACCTGATCCTGATCCTGATCCCGTTCCCTTGCGTGGCGCTTCTCTCCTATCTGCAGGTTAGCCAAAAAGAAGAAAACGGGCAAGAAGAAGAAGGCCAGGCCAGAGGAGGCTCCCGTTTCTGCTTCCGCTGCCGCCCAGGCGGGAACTCAAGGGACAGGCCAGGGGAGCAGGTCTGGAGCCGGGCAGCCAGAATCCGGCCTGGAGGCCGACCCGGAAGCAAGTGCCGAGGCGCCGGAGCTCTCCCAGCTGGGCCTGTGGATCCCCGAGATGAAGGACGCTTCCATGGAGAGGATGGGGCAGCCGCTGAGCAAAGTGATCCACTCGCTGGACAGGCAGCTGGTGGCGGCAGGCGGGTGGAGCGCTCCTCCAGAACCGCCGGACCAGTCCTTTCGGACCAGCCCGCCAGGGGAGGTCCCCCCGGAGGGGCCATCCTCTGGCAGCTTTAGCACGGGGATTTCGACCCCCATGGACTTCTACCGCTTTACCGTCGAGAGTCCAAACGCTCCTGCAGCAGGTGGTGGCCACCATGACGCTGCAGGGGATGGCCAACCGCCACATGTTCCTGGTGGCCTTGAGGCTGCTCAACAAGAGGAGGAAGGAGGAGGAGGAGGAGGAACTGCTGTGGAACCAGCCGTAGCCCCGCAGGAGGGGGCGGAAGGGGAGCCCGGCGGCGTGGAGGCCCTCAGCAGGCTGACGGGGGACCGGGGGAGCCCTTCTCCCAGCAGTGCCGAGGACTCCGGCGTTGAGGAGGGGCAGGGGAGCCCTTCTGAGGCCGCTCACCCCTCGGAGTTCAGGTAACTGGTAACGGCGTGAGGGGGCTCCCCGAGACGCCACCTGGCGGGCCTTCTGCCCCAGGGTGGGGCGAGCGGAAAGGGGCACAGGCCACGAAGTCCTTGGCCCGCCTCTCTCCGGAGGGGTGTGCGTGGGCTCATGGCATTGAGGGCACCATGCTGGGCACCCCCTTTGCTGCCCGGACTCTGCAGAGAACAGGGAAGTGATCCGAGAACCATTCCTGGCTCGCTTTCATAGAATCGGAGCGTCGGGAGGGGCCGGGAGGGGCCGGGAGGGCCAGCCGCCGCCATCTGCAGGGCACCAGGCCGTCTTTCCAGTGGGCCATTTGCGTGGCCGCTCTTCTGTCCGGTTTGGAGGGGCCAAGCCCTCGGGCGCTTTTGAGGGCTCCTGGGCCTTGAATGAAGGGCCAGCCTGTTGCGCCTCTGGCTCCTCCCAGCTCTCTGGTCAGGGAGGAACTGCCTTTAATCGGCCAGTTTCTGTTCCTCATACATAAAAAGGGACCCCAGCGCCTGACTTCCTCTCCGTATTTCTGCCATTCCTTTCCGTGAAACTGGAGCATATTTTATAAGGCTGGAGGGAGCCAGTGATTGACGCCCCTCCTTTCTCCTCCTCATAGGAAGCGGGAGCCGAGCGAGGGACAAGGGAGCTGTGCCTGAAGCGGCTTTCCCTCTGGAGGGTTGGGGTCTTGGGCAGGTGCCGTTCGGCACGTCTTCGGGACCGCAGGCGGGGAGGCTGCTAGCAGCAGCTGCACAAGAGCCGTGCCGAGCGGCAGGCTGCAGCGCGAGCCGGGGTGGGCCGGGGGCAGAGGGCCACAGGTGCACCGTGACAGCCCGGCCCGTCTGGGGAGCTGTGTGGGACCACCCCCCCCGGCAGAAACCTCCTCGCCCTGTGGCTCCACGCGGGGGCAGCGCGGCTGGCCCTCCCCCTGCCGTGCGGCTCCGGGTCCAGGTCCAGCTCGCACTCCCTCTCTTCATTCTCCCTGCGCAGAGTGGACAACAACCACCTGTTGCTGCTGATGATCCATGTCTTCCGGGAGAACGAGGAGCAGTTGTTCCGGGTACGCCGTGGGCATTCCCTGGGATGCTTCCCCCCCCGTCCTGTGGGTCGCAGGGTGCGGGGAGACGGCCACTGCTGCCTGGCCGCTCGGCCACGTGAGGAAGCGCCTGGCAGGGGCCGCTGGGGCGGGGGGGCGGCTCGCGGGAGGGCGGCTTTCCTCGCCGAGCCCCCGGGAGCTGCAGGGCTCGGTGGACACGGTCGAGGGAACGGCTGCTCGCCGCTCCCTGGCAGTCCCCTTATGCAGGGCCCCTCTCTGTCTGGGCAGATGATCCGCATGAGCACTGGGCACATGGAGGGGAACCTGCAGCTGGTCTACGTCCTGCTGACCGACTGCTACGTCTATCTCATCCGGAAAGGTATTCTGCGGAGGGCCCCGTGCCCGCCAGTCCCCCCGAAGCGGCCGCCCAGCCCAGCCCAGCCCAAGGGGAGGCATCCTGAGTGGCTTCAGGGCAGCATTTGCGCGCCCAGGCGCAGAATGCCAGGCTTCGGCTGAGGCGCGGCTCTCGCGGGCTGCCCGGTGATGTGCATCTCGCGGCGGCCCTTTGCAGCCCCCGCCAACGGGATGCGTTCCCCCCTCCCCATCTGTGGGGGGCCCACTTCCTTTTCTTGTGGGCTGCCAGGCTTGGTACGGAGCAGGCGACTCAGCAGGCGGTCTGGGGGGCAACCGCCGCCACACCGGAGAGCAGGTGCCGCCTGGGACCAGCGGAGCCGGCCCCCCGCCCCGTGCAGCCCCGCTTGCTCCGCCAGCAGCAGCTGTGGGCAGCCTCGGCTGGCGGGCTGCCGGACCCGCTGTACGTGATCCTTGTGCCGTGGGGACGGGAGGGATAGTGCCGGGAGAGGAGCAGGCCGGAGGCGGGTCCCGGCTGTGCACCCCACTTCCATGCCGGGGTCACCCCACCGGTCCCCACGGCAGGTCTGACCGTGCCCGCCGCTCTCAGGACGGGCTCTGGAAGCCAGCACGGCTGGCCTGCGTCTGCTCCGTGTGGCCTTGAGCTGGGAGGAGAGGGGGGGAATCGAGGCCTCGGAGGTGTCGCTCCCCCCAGGGATGTTGTGGCGTGGCTCACCCCCCCCCCCCGCTTTTGCCAGGAGCCGCCGAGAAGCCGTACATGGTGGAGGAGGCCGTCTCCTACAACGAGCTGGACTACATCTCGGTGAGCGGGTGGGGGCTGCTCGGGACGGCGATGGCGGCTCGTGCTCTGCTGGCTGGGGCCGCTCTCCTGGGGTGGAGGCTCCTCCAGGCCGCTCCGCATTCGGGGCCAGGCCGTCGCCCTGGCGAGGCCTCTCCGGGAGAGAGCGAGGGCTTCTCACCCAGAGCGGCCTGCTCCTCCGGCAGGTGGGTCTGGACCAGCAGACGGTCACCTTGGTCTGCACCAACCGCAGGAAGCAGTTCCTCCTGGACACGGCCGACACCACCCTGACCGAGTACGTGAGCTGGCCCCCCGCGCCCCGGGGCCTCGCGCTTTCGGCTCCTCCCTGGCCTCCCCCGTAGCATCTGGCCTGCCTGCGCCCCACCCGGGGCCTGGTTTGGCTGAGCCTGGCCGGGGCAGCCGCGCCGCCTGACTCCGGCCTCCCCTCTTCCCTCCCCTCAGGTTTTTCCTGCTCTCCCTCAAGTCGGCCATGATCAAGGGATGCCGAGAGCCGCCGTACCCAAGCATCCTGACTGACGCCACCATGGAGAAGCTCGCGCTGGCCAAATTTGTGGCCCAGGAGTCCAAGCGGGAGGTGAGGAGGGAGCTGTGGGTCCCCCTGCAGCCCACGCGCGCCTGGAGCTGCCCTTCGCACCGACCCGCTTGGCCGTGGCGCAGCAGGCGGGGCGAGGTCGGCAGCTGCGCCCGGTCAGGCTGGCTGGCTGCCGGCAGAAAGGGGAGCCTCCGGCGCTTGCTCCGTCCGTGCCCTTCCGGCACCAAGGCGAAGGGCTCAAGTCGACACGTTGTGTGGAAGACTGAAGCGTGCAGCGGCTGGGGGCCCGGCCCGGCACAGCGCGTGGCGCATGCGTCCGATGCTGGAAGCACCCGCTCTGGCTGCCTGCGCCTCCTTCCGGCACGTGAGTCTGAAGCCTGGGCTGGCCTCTTCCCTGCTGTTGACGGAGGGCAGCTCCATGCAGTCCCGTGCGGTTTCCTGCTGAGGTGGGACCGGGCCCCCCGTCTTTTCCCGCTCGTAGTGGGGGCCTGGATGCCCAGCCTCCCCCCCCCCCCCCCCTCCCCAGCTCCACAGCCTCCGTGCAGGCGCTCACGCGGGGCTTGGGCCGGGGCGGTGCCTTGCAGGCCTCCGAGGTGGCAGTGTGCTTCTACGGGCTCATCCACTGGGAGGACCCCATGGACGAGGCCCTGGGGCCGGCCCCCTCCCACTACCTCTCGGCCGAGAGCCCCATCGCGAAGGAGGGCGTGCTGAGCTACAAGGCCAGCACCAACTACCTGGGCAAGGAGAACTGGCGGCCCTGCTTCGTGGTGCTCAGGTGAGGGCCGGGGGCGGCGGGACGCCGGGGCAGCGCCTGGGGGGGCCGGGGCGGCCCTTGAGGCCGCGTCCTCGCTGCTCTGCGCAGCAGCGGTGCCCCGGCCACCCTGAGTCCTGGGGAAGCGGCAGGATATCAGCCCTGTTCTGAGTCGGCCTCTGCATTCTGGTGCTTTGGGCCAGAATGCCGGCCCGCCCCTCCTGGGCTGGCGTTCACTCCCTCCGCTCCCTTGCAGCAACGGCATCTTGTACCAGTACCCGGACCGCACCGACGTCACCCCGCTGCTGTCTGTGAACATGGGGTAAGTGCGGCTGGGCCTGCAGCGCCAGAGCCCGTGAGGCCGGCCCCCCGCGCCCCCGCCCCTCACCCTGCAACTCTCCGTTCCTTGCAGTGGGGAGCAGTGCGGCGGATGCCGGCGGTCGAACGCCACAGACAGGCCCCACTCCTTCCAGGTGATCCTGACCGACCGCCCCTCCCTGGAGCTGAGCGCCGAGAACGAAGAGGAGATGGCGGACTGGATGCAGTTCCTGTGCCAGGCGGTCTCCAAAGGGGTAGGAGGGCGGGCGCTGGGGGCGCGAAGATCTGGGGAGCAGCCTGGAGGGCCGTGGCTGCGGTGGCTCGCCGGCCTGGGCCTGCAGATCCGCGGCCCGGGGAAGAGCATGCCCCTGGGGCTCCGGCAGGCTGGGGCCCAGCTGCCCGCGGACGCTTTGTAGCCCCCTGGGGGTCTCTAGAAGACCCCTCCCGCTTGCTACCCGTTGCGGGAGGCTCCTCCGTCTGCGTGTGGCTCCCCCCCGCTCGGAAGGGCTGAAGCGGCTCTCCGGAGGGTCAGCTGCTGGAAGACGTGCTGGAGGCAGCAGCCTGCTGGCCTGCGGGGGACGGTTGCGTGCGCCTGCCGTCCTGCTCCCGCCTCAGGGAGGCCCTCCAGGGGGAGCCCGGCCCGCAGGCCACAGGAGACCCCGCGCTCCGGCCGTTCGGTGGCTGGGGTGCCGAAATGGGGCCGGGCGTGCGGGCAGGAAGCGGCAGCACCACACACGCCTGCGAAGCGGACGGGGAGGAGGCAGGCACCCCGCGACCGCCGGCTTTGCCTGGGCCGGCCGGGACTGACTGGCGGCAGCCCCGCCTCTGGAAGGCCCCGCAGTCCTGGCCCCGGGCCCGGAAGCTGCCGGGCTGCTCCGAGGCTGGGCAGGGACCCGCGGTGGAGGCCTGACGGGCGCCTGCTTGCCTCCCCTCTCCTGCTGCCGCGCCAGGTCGCCCCGCAGGGCGGGCTCCCGGCCCCCTGCGTCCCCTGCTGCCTGGTGGTGACGGAGCAGAAGATCTTCACGTGCCACGAGGACTGCCAGACCAGCTTCTTCCGCTCGCTGGCCACGGCCGAGCTGGGGGACGTTGCCTCCGTCTCCCTAGAGGCCGGGCGGGAATACTGTATCGTGGTGAGTGCAGCGGGCTGTGGAGCATGTGCAGAGTTGCCTCCGGTCACAGTTCAGCTTGTGGGGTAGAGGAAGCCGCCTGCTCCCGAAGCAGCTCGTGGGCATCGTGTGCGGCACGGCCAGCCTGGGCTAGCGGAGGGTTTCTGGCAGGGTCCCTTTCGCCCCCCCGGAGCTGTCTGGGGCCGCGGCTGGGCTCACACACACCAACCGTGTCTGTCTGTCGCTCTGCCTACCTGTCTGCCTGCCTGTAGGAGTTCGCCCAGGATCGCAAGCAGTACCTGCCGCCTTGGGTCCTCTACTTTAGTTGCACTGCAGAGCTGGAGCGCTTCCTCTCGGCGCTGGACACTGTGTGGAAAAGCGCTTACCAGGTAGCCGCGCCTTGCCGCTGCCGGCCCAGCGCCCAGCTGGCCCCCCTGCCCTCTTGCCCGCTGGGCCGGGCGGAGGACGGGCACGCGCCCCCACGGCTGGCCCGCATGCGAGCGTGCGACCCTCTCCCTCCTCGTGTGTCGGCAGGTCGACCTTTCGCACAAGCTGATCGAGAACAGCGCCACCCGGAAGAAATGCGAGGACGCCCTGGGCTTGATCCACAGCGCGTGGCAGCGCAGCGACAGCCTCTGCCGTGGCCGGGCCTCCCGGGACCCCTGGTGCTAGCTCCAGCCGGCCGAGACGGACAGGGCTCTGCGCAGGGGAAGAGGCCTTGCTTGGCCGCCTGGCGAGCCGGGGCCGCGCAGCGTGGGGGCAGGCGGGCCGGCGGGCGCTCGGGCCTCTCCGGAGGGCGGGCCGGCTGCAGGGCAGCTCCGTGCGCTGCCGCTTGCGCGTTGGGTTGACGGTCGCTCAGCCGGAGCTCTCCGGATGTCTTTGCACTGAGCCGGGAAGGAGCGGGCCCGTTCGTCTCCGCCGAGGGCCAGCCGCACGCACGCCACGCCCCGTGCACCGTGGCGCTTCTCACCCAGCCCCTGGCTCCTCCTGGCAGGGGGCGGCCGCCCGGTGGGCAGGACTCGCGTGCCGCCCATCAGCCGTGGCCGCACCACGTCCCTTGCTTCCGGGGTGAGCCGGCGGACCTCACGGGGCTCAGTGACCTCTTTCAGGGGATAGGGATCTCTTTTGGGCGGGGGCTGCGGGCAGGGGTGAGGGCCCCCGCTGGTGTGGGGGGCGTCCCTGGAGTGCCAAGGCAGTCCAGAGGCCGTGCCTGGTGGCCGCTCCGCTTTCGGTCTGGGGCGAGGTGGGAGCACCGCGGGTGCCCTGCATGTATTTCTCCTCGGAACGATCGCCAACATCCCGCTGTGCTCCACCTGGAGACGCGCCCCCGCTTGCCCACTCCCTCGCGGTTCTCCTTCCTGGCTGGTGTCGCTTCACGAAGAGCCCCCCCTGCCTCTCCCCGGGGCCTCTGGGGGCCGAGCGGGGGCAGTGAACTGGGCCATGGGGCCGCGCTGCGTCTTTTTCCTCGCTTGGCCAGCAGGTGGCAGTCTGTCCCAGGGCTGGCCTGGCTCTCCTGGGGAGGTGGGCTGTGGGCTCCCCATGGCTCCCCATGGAGGCCGGGCAGGGCATCCGCAGCCCCTCAGCCCGTTCACGGGTCCCCACGTTCTCCCCAACGCGGCTGAAGCACTAGGTGTGAGTTGCTTTGCCGAGCCCTCATTTGCCGGCGCCTGCGCAAATCGCGCTGCCTCGCATCCCCATCATCCCCATCCCGCCCGCTTGGTGGAAGGCTAGCGTGGCTCGCGGGCCGTGCGGTCGGGAGCGCGGAGGCGTTGCTTGGGGCACGCGGTGGAGGTGGCAGGAGGTCGCCAGCTCCCGTCTCCGAGAGCGAATCCATCGGGACCTTGCCGCTTACTCACTCCCAGTGCATCCTCGGTAGACAGCCAGGGTTGGGGCTTGGTTTGCCTGGCTCTTTTAAGTTGTTTCATATTTTTAATATTCTTAATTTTAACGACTGTGGGACTTGCTCATGTACCACATGGCTCGCATGGGGGCTCTTCCCCAGCAGGAGGTCTCCGTGAGAGAATGTACCTGTACAGACATCTCTACCCCTCCCTGTAATAAACGGTCCTTGGTAACTGGCATGAGTCTGCCTGCTGGTCTGGTGACATGCGGGGGCTGAGCGTGCGCTCCCCCGAGGGCCTCCAGCCCCTGTGGTGCCGCCGCAGCACTCCGAGGCCTTCCTGCCGCGGAGGCTTCGGACGGGGAGGCGGCACGAGCCGCGCTTGCGGAGGGCAGCTTGAGGAAGCGGCCCGCGAAACCTCGGGCACGAGGAAGGAGGGCTGGCTGGCCCCTCTTGCCTGTGCTGGCCCGAGGATCGCTCTGCAGGCCGCCCCTCTGCTTGGTCCCAGCCTTCGTCCTCCGGCTCGTCGCCTGCGCGGCACCATCTGAGGCGTTGCCGGCAGCAAGGCCGAGCCGTTCGGGAGGGGGCCGGGCTGTGCCAGAGAGGCCGCGAGTCGCCCCGGGGGCTGCCCAAGCCGTCCGGGAGCGCAGGCAGCCCGCCACGCTGCTTCCCCCACGGTGCCTGGGAGCGCAGGGCCGCTTTGTGAACCCCGGCAGGATCTGGAGCAATTCGGGAGAGCCCGGTGCGGGGGCAGCTGCACCGCCGTGGGCTGGGCCCTTCCTGGATGAGACGGGCTGGGCCGGGAGTTCCAGCGAAGGAGAAGCTGCCCCGGGGGAGTGCGGAGGGCCGCGCGCTGGGGGGGGGGGGGCAGAGGGGAGGGGAGGGTGGCCGGACAGTTCCTTGGAAGCGAAAGCGGGTCACTTTTTGTCATCTTGCTGTCCGTCTTGTGCCAGCATGTGTAATGCTACCCTGTCTCCGATGTGCTATTTTGAGCCCGGGTCAAGAAGCGTCTGTTTACAAACTACCCTGGCCACGCTGAGGGCGCGGGAGCCGCCCGCCCGGTGTGGGTGGCTGCCCTGTGCGTGAGCTCGTGCTCGGGGCATGGCCGCCACGTGGGTCCCTGCAAGGCCCCGGCTGCCAGCGGACGGCTTCGCTTCTTCACGGCCAAGGGCTTTCTGGCAGGACCGGAGCCCAAGGAGCCCCCGTCCCTTCGCGGCCTCGGCTGTGGGCTGGAGCGGCCCCGATCCTCCTCGTGCCCTCTTTGGCACTTGGGAGCGCGGCGTGCGTTTGGCGTGCCGCTTGCCGCCGGGTGCGTCTCGGTGCCTTCCCGGGCTGGTGTCTGGTGGAGGGGCAGGCGAGCAGGGGCGGCTTGCGTGGCCGGCAGGGCTGGCAGCCTGTGCTGGAGCCAGCCTGTTCGAGGGAGGGGAGGCGAGGAGTGCATTGCGGGTTGTGCTTTTAGAAACGAAAGCCCCTTTTGTGGGGCAGGGGAGCTGGGTGTCCTGTTTCCTGGTGCGAGGTGCAGCGGGGCTGCTGCCACCTGCGTGCTGAAGCGCGCCCGGCCGTCCTCTGCGCCCCCGTCAGAGCCGCAGCCCCGGCTGAACTTTCCCCCACATCCAGCCGGGCTGCCTGCCTCCCTCCCACAGCCGGCCCCTTCCCAGCCGGAGAGGCGAATGCAGGGGCAGGCCCGGCCTGATGTCACACGGAGGTGGAGACTCGGCGGAGGGGTGGAGAGGGCGAGGGCTGCCAGCCCAGCTCAGAGGTGCCTCGGGGTGCCTCCTGCGCGGATGGCACGGGGCGAGCCGGACGCCGGGGAGGAAGGCCGACGCGCGTCTCCGCGGTGCTCCGGCTGCCAGTGCGGAGCGGCCGGGCCGTTGCCTCCCACTTCCGCCCGCCCGCCGCCCGCCCGGCGGTGTGCCCGCCCGTGTCCCACAAGCTCCCGCTCGGGCGGCGATCGGACAGGCGCGTCACAAGTGGGTTCGGCAGCCCTGCGGAGGACCTCGCGTCCGACAGCTCGGCCGGGCCGTCCTGGCACGTGCCGGGCGGGCGAGGCCACGCCATGGAGCCCCCCCGCGCGCGGGCCACCGTGGCCCCGGTCTCGCCCCCCGTGGACTTCGTCCTGGGCGCCGCGGCCTGCTGCGTGGCCTGCGTGTTCACCAACCCCCTCGAGGTGGTCAAGACGCGGCTGCAGCTGCAGGGGGAGCTGCGCTCGCGGGGCACCTACCCCCGCCACTACCGCGGGGTGCTGCAGGCCCTGTGGGCGGTCAGCCAGGCGGACGGGCTCCGGGGCCTGCAGAAGGGCCTCTCGGCTGGGCTGCTCTACCAGGGGCTGATGAACGGCGTGCGCTTCTGCTCCTACTCCCACGCGGAGGACATCGGCCTGACGCAGCGGCCGGGCGGGACCGTCGTGGCCGGAGCCGTGGCCGGAGCCCTGGGGGCGTTCGTGGGCAGCCCGGCCTACCTGGTGAGTCCTCTTGGGTGTGCCGGCCGTGCGCCGTGGGTGCTGGGCAGCGCTTGGGGCAGAGCGTGGGTGTGGAGAGCGGCCCCTCCCCACCGAGTCCGTGGCCCCCGCTTTGCAGCGCTAAAACCCAGCGCGGAGGGGAGCCTGCACGGAAGCCCCCCGTCCAAGCCCTGCCCGCTCAGCCCAGCCTCCACAGTGCTCCGGAAGCCCGCCAGCGACCCCGACACCGGCCTTGAGGCGGGTGCAGGAGCCAGGCTGCTGAGCGGTCCTCAGCTGCCAAGCCCGTAGCCCTTCGGATGGCGAGGATCGGCCTTGGAGCGGCTAAGGCCAAGCCGCTGCCGCTGCCCTTTTTTGGTCGGAGTGCTTGGGCTCCCTAAATCGAGCTCTTTCTCCCTGTGCCACAGGAGGGTGCGCCCAAGTGCCCTCCCACCCATGTTCCCCAGCACCTGGCATATAAAAGGCGACCGTCTCCAATATGGGGGAGAATATATAGCTGTTGGGACAAGGAGCTGCGTGCAGCCTCTTCTTCCCTGCCTCGGTCGGACTCCTTTGATAGCGGTCCATCGCTGCGTCTCGTGCCAGCCAGTTCCATTCTTCACACTGTGCTGTCTGCACATGATTTATGCGATCTGTTTGCACGATTCCTTGCATCTGGGCTGAACTCCTCCCCATCCAGCTTCATGGGATGACCCCCCACCCCCACCCCGGGGCTCTGTTGAGGAAGACGCTGTCTCCACCTCAGGACTAGCCTTGTACGGCACTTTTGCACATCGAGTTCACACTTGGGCACACCTGTTCCCCACCCAAAGCGGCCCAGAATGGGGAGGAGCCGGAGAGGTGTGCTTCCCCCATGGGCTAAAGCAAGGAAATGTGCATTTTTCTGGGATTTCTGCAGAACCTGATTCCACCAGTGAGCAGATAACAGAATGGAAGCCACCCGAGATGTAGATGGGATGGATTTCTAATGCCCACACATCCCAGTTTCCCCAAGACTTCCTAGGACTGAGCCTGGGCATTGCACTTGGGTTCTGGGACTCAGGTTTGGTGGGGTTTGCCAGCCAAAGAGATCCCGGGAAAGGAGCTTCCGCAGGCCACCCGAGACCTCTGGGACCATCTTCTGCAGGCTGCCCAAGCTGCCACAGGGACCCCGAGGCAGGGGGAGCAGCCCGAGTGGAGCCGTGTCCCCCCTAACCAAGCGCTGGCTGGACCTGGGAGCCAGCGAGGAGGAGCAAGGTCCAGGGCGCTGGCCATGGATGGGCGCACCCAGGCAGAGGGCAGGTGCCGCCGGAAGAGTTGCATAACTTTCCCCTGGGACCTTTCTGGGGGGCGGGGTGGGGCGGGGCGCCGGGGCAGTGCTGCTGCCCGCAGGGCCCGGAGAGCAGACCCAGGTCCCTGAGGCAACCCGAGCAGTGAGGAATCGCCCTTCTCCGAGACCCTCACGGGCTCCCTTCCGCTTGCTGCAGGTCAAAACTCACCTCCAGGCCCAGGCGGTGGCGGCCATTGCAGTGGGACACCAGCACAACCACCAGGTGAGCCGAGGCGGGGGGGGGGGCTGGCCGGGGGGAGCCTCGGGCAGAGAGGGCTTGGCTTCCTGAGTCTCTGCGGCAACTCAGGTGTGCAACCTCAAGCCTGTTTGGCGCTCAGGCCGAAGGGTGTTGCACGCCCGACACAAGCCTTGTGCAAGAGGTGCACGCCGCGGGGAACGCAGCGAGCGGACTCCCACACGCCTCTCACGTCGGCAGGACGTGCCCGACCAGAGCCTCCCGTCCCTTCCCGCGAAGCCTCGGTGCTTTCGAGCAGCCGCCCTGCCCCGGGCGAGTGCAGGCAGGGCCCCCGGCCTTGTGCCCCACTCCCTTGTGCCCCACTCCCGTCCCTGCCGGGCGCCGAGCCAGCTGGCGGCCGTCCCAGGGAGCCGCGGTCCGTGCGCTTTGTTGAGCGAACTCGCTGAGCTGGTCGGAAAGTGATCCGTGCAGAGCGCACAAACAGCCGACGTCACCGCACGCCTGCGCCCGGGAACAGGCTGCGCCGCCCCGCTCCCCTTTCCTCCCATTCAGCAACTCCGACCGACCGTTGCAAAACACTCCTGTCCTGGCAGGGGGGTGGAAGGGCTGTGGGGCTCCTGCAAAGAGCGCTGCCGGGGGGGGCGGGGGGGCGGCAACCTGACCTGGGCCCGGCGGCGGGATGGCCCTTGAGGGCAGCTGCCCAAGCGAGCGCCACACACCGCTTTGCAGGCGCGCTCGGGGTGCGCGTTCCGGTGGTGAAAGGCCGGCAGCTCGAGGAGCGGGGCCAGAGCCCCGCAGCAGGCGTGTCGCAGCGTGACGTTCTGCCTGCCGTAAGCGAAACGTGCCAGCCTTGTCCTGGGGAACCGCAAAGCCCAGGGAGCCACCAAGCTCCCAGCAGCTGGAAAAGGAGGCGGCCCAGGAAGCAAAACTGCAGCCTCGATTTCTTGCCCGTTAAAGGCTTGCAACAGACCGACCTCCGTGAAGCGCCTCTGGGCCCCAAAGCTCGGGAGAGGCGCAAAGCCCCCCTGCGGGAGCCCTGGTGGGGGCTGAAGACAGGCTCCGTGCGGGGGGAGCCGGCCGGCCTCCGGGCTCTGTCCTTGGCCCTCGCTCATCGCCAAGGTGGGATGAGGCGGCGGGAACAGGGTGCCGAGGTGCACCTGTTGTAGAGGGCTGAACGCGGCTGGGCCTCCCCTGCCAGATTATGGAGGCCTTTGGTCTGTGTCGTGGGGAGAGGTCTGTGGGAGGCTGCCCCCCCCCCTCAGCTTTCCCTCTTCGTACTCCTCTGCAGAGCGTCTCCAGCGCCTTTGAGACCATCTACAAGAAGCAGGGGCTCCTGGGGCTGTGGCGAGGGGTGAGCGGGGCCGTGCCCCGCGTCATGGTGGGCTCGGCTGTCCAGCTGGCCACGTTCGCTTCCGCCAAAGAGTGGGTCAGGACGCAGAAGGTGAGGGGCACGGCAAGGGCGGTGCGGGCTCGCGGAAGGGGCGGGAGGGCGATGCACCCCGAAGGGGACTTACTCCTGGCCCTCATCCTCATGCACGAGAACCGCGGTCCGATTATTGGCAGCGCCTGCACGTTCCAGCTCCCCATCCAGCTTTTCCTAACCTCTGCACATTTCCAAGAAAGACTCTGGCGTGCTGAGTTGTTCTTTTTCCAAAATCCATGGCCTCCCGGCCACAGATGAGCCAGAGAGAGAGCACGTGGTTTGTTGTTAGCGCGTTTAAGCCATGGGTTCTTGCGCCACGTGAACCCAGAACCTTGGGTTGGTCGTGGGTGGGCGACCAGGCTGCGGAGGCATTTGGGCTCTGGGGAGGAGGCGGGCAAAGGAAGAGGGAAATGGTCCAGAGGGCTGGAGAAGCAAAGCCAGCTTGTTCCGTTGCCTGCCAGAGGAACCCTGAGCGGGACAGCAGGGCCTGGCAAACAGACCGCGGGCTGTGCCGTGCTCCTCGCGGCACACCGCCCTCTGCTCACGGTGCACTTTCCTCCCCTGAAGTGGTTCAAGGAGGGCAGCTGGCTGGTGGCCCTGGCCGGGGGCATGATCAGCAGTGTCGCGGTGGCCGTGGCCATGACGCCCTTCGACGTGGTCAGCACCAGGCTGTACAACCAGCCGGTGGATGAGATGGGCCTGGTAAGACCTGCGGCCCACGGGGGTCCCGGATGCCCTTGGGAGCCCCGGGCTGGGAGCCTCCCCTCAGGGCTGTCGCGCCGCGGTGGGGCAGAGCGACGCTCCCAAGCCTTCCCTGCAGGCCACATGCCTGGCACCCAAGGCTCTCCGCCGTCCGGGGAGTGCGGCAGTGGGGGCTCCCTGTCCATCCCTGCCCCTTCTCCTGCCTCGCTCCAAGGAACGCCACGTAACGCAGCGGACAAAACGGAGCGAAAGCAAAGTCCCAGCGAGGGCGCCGCAAAAAGAAGTGCGTCAGCCACAGTGAAGGCGCCGCAGAGGGGCCTCGCCGAGTGTGGAACGGGCACTGCGGCTGGCACCCCACGCCGCCCTGTGCGCCAGAGGCCTGCCTGAAAAGGCACTGCCCTGCCTGCTGGAGGCCCTCCCCGAGCCGCCCGGGTCCCAGGGTGGGGGCCGCCCCCGGGAAGGCCCTTCTCACACCTCCGCCAAACGTGCCTCGAGGGCAGGAGGACCAGGGGAAGCACCCCGTGAGGCCCCAGCCTGGGCGGTCCCTTGAAAGCGCCCCGTGCCCGGGCACAGAGGGCAGCCAGCAGAGCTGCTGCAGCAAGAGGGCCACCCGCTCCCTGCGAGCAGCCCCCCCCCTGGGCCCCCTTCAGCGGCACCCCCACGGAAGGCGGGGCGGCGCGGCCCGGGCCGGATCCGGCTTCTCCGGGGACTTGTGCAGCAAGGGTCGTGCGAGGGCGCCGGACTCACCCAGGCTCCCCCCCCCCCCCCCCCCCCCCC